ATAACGCGGATGTAGTCACCAAATCACGCCAGGCTGGATTCACGAGTTTTGCTACCCCATCCCTGTGGCAGGCATCTGTGTCTTCACCAGTTCTCCATCTCTCGTCCCAAAATTTGCCGTCGGGTCCGTCACAACCTGCAGCAATGGCGCCATTATCAAATACAGGCCCCATCACACCTGCACGCGATCGCACGCGGCGCGCCAGCGTTCAGCCCATTAAGTTCAAGGAAATTAGCGGTCCTCAGCCATTAGCAACGCGGCATGACTACCGCAGTGGCGCTGTAATGCCTGACCGCTCTGGTGCAGCCTCTCCTCGGGCAGGTAAATCTCGTCCATCTCCAGTACTCTCTACACCCAGGGGACGTTTGTCGGTTGACGCACCTAGGCGGAGCCATGATTCGTCGAGCCCGCCAGGCACCCTGTCTGGCTCCCGAGCGCGGTTTGGCGACCTGTCCAGAACGCCTGTGGCTACGAGTGCCACTCACCTGCCTCTCCACAGCAGTCCACCTTCCTGTCCTACTCCCAATCGTGCTGTGAGTCCTGCACGCGCAAGGACACCTCTTAAACAAGTTGTGGCTCCCGCATCCTATCAGGGGTTTACTTCTGCATCTACGTCTACATCACATCTTCCCTTGAATTCCTCCAGTCCACCGACGATGTCAACTTCAGCCCGTATGCCTTCTGTGGATGCACCAAGGAGACCCTCAGTTGATGCGCCACGGAGAAGTTCTGTTGATACCCCACAGAGACCTTCTTTTGATACCTCCCGAAGACCATCTGCAGAAGTGCCGCGAAAAGCGTCTGGCGAAACCTCTCGAAGAGGCTCCATTGACGTACATCGCCGACCCACGGCCTCGCCTGTGCCTAGAGCATGTTCTCCTCAGTCTACCGTGCGTCCACGTGCTACATCACCTTCTCAGCGCACGCCTGCATGCGCCCAGACTCGCTTTAATATCTCAACTGCTTCCCTCATCTCTCCTTCCACTCCAGAGCAGCGTGAGGTTATACGTGCTGCAACTTCGCTTCTTTGCAAAGAATTGCGGAAAGCACCGGCGCATCTTGCACGTAGTGATGCACAGAAGGAGTGGGCGGAAGTAGAGGTGCGCATGCAGCCCTTAATAAGGCTTGAACGCGTTTGGGGAAAGAGTGGCGGTGGCGGTGCCAGTTCTAGCCAGGTTGCTGGGGGTGTTGGCTCCATGGTGCTTAGCTCAGCTGGGGAGGAAAGAGAAAGGAAGCTCTTCTGCGAGGCCCTTCGAGATGGCGTTGTTCTCTGCCAGTAAGCCTTGACAGTTACTCCGACTGGTGTGCTGTTTAATGTTGCATCTTTTCAGGCTGATAAACAAGCATTATTCTGGGGCCATAACTCGCATCGACCACCGTGAAGACGGTCTTAAGCAAACCAGCAACATCACCAGGTTCATTGCCGCATGCTCGCAACACGGTGTCCCTTCCGACGACATTTTCTATCGTGACGACCTTATCCAGGCGACCCCAGAAACCCTTTGCCGTGTCGCATGTACCATCAATTCGTTGATGAAGCTTTTTGAAGACCCTGGAGTCGGTCGTGCCAAGGTCATCGCGGGTCAAGGCAAGAAAGGTGCCATCGTAGCTTCAAGCAACGACCCTTACTCCTCGGCAATTTCTTGCGCCGCTTCTTCCACACCGAATCTGCTGCCACGACCAACCTCTCCAGTTCGCAGAATGCAGAGTCCACATGAACGAACGCTCCTCCCAGTGCGACCTGATAGTCCGCAATCGGGAACATCTGCTGGCACAGCTAAGAGAGTCCCCATCATTGATAAAAGCACGACACCAGCCAGTAACAGCGATCATGAAATTCACCAGGTTCCCCCTCTTACGAGTCCATGTCCAACCCCTATATCTCCCCTTCGCGCGCACTCTCGAACTGGACTTCCAAATGACAGTGGCGTTAGCCCTCTCTCCAGTCTTCAGCCACTCGACATTCCCTTCCCTCAATCACCGACTTCGCAGGTGTCCAATCTGTCGACAGCGGGCTGTGATGCAGACTATCCCCCACGACAGTCAAGAACCTCCAGCAATCTCACTGATAACACTGCCCTCTCCAGCATCTTTGACATCAGACGGGTGAGCAGCAGCAACCAAAACAAGTTTGGAACCATCAGGACTTTCACAACTGAAGCGACCTCTTGCTCTGAGGCGCCTTCGTTCACCCGAACAGAGGCTAGCTCGGTGGCAGCATTCATGACAGAAGAGATGAGCAGGAGACGGGGTAGTGGAGAGCCTGCACCTCGGTCGAGAGAGCGACGCCCGAGCGAGCCAGGTGTACTTGATCTGGTTAGCCTCGCAGAGGAAGAGGAGAACAGTGCCTGTGGGTCGAGTTCCAATCATCATCAGAAGGAGAGTTTGCAGCCTAAAGGACCCTCGCGGGTGCGGGAAACGGACGCGCAGAATCGTGTGCGACTCGGTAAAGGCAAATGGCCCGACGATTTTCTGGACGCTTTCAAGCCAAGTCCATCTCAAGCAGTCCCAATTGCAACATCGTCGAACAGTGTAGATGCGCCCCTTGGTTCCAGTCCTCTATCTGTATCCCCGACTAGAAAGCCTTCCATTGTTGGCTCATCACGTCACAACGACAGCACAGAGTCCAGAGTCCGAAGGCCATCTCATCGGTCAACCCATAGCGCGGATGTCCTGATGCCGAGGAATTCAGTGCTTCGTTTGGATGCCAGTTCAGATAATTCACCAGGCTCCAAAGTCATTCTGCGTCGTCAGAGTACACGTAATGGTGTTCGCAGAAATGGGGTCTACTATCCTCGTAATAGCGCCGACGACCCTGGGACTCCAAAGGATGACGATCCTCGCATTGTCCCCTTCCCGCGTGCCGTGTCAGGGGAACATGCTGCTCGTGCCACACCATCTCCCGATTCTACTGCCAAGGGCGATGTCACGAATAACCAGGATGCTCCCCGTGTGCGTGGTCGCTTCCAGAGTGATGTTGAAGATCATCGAGCTCGAAGATGCAGTCGTCCGACTTCGCTTGATGAGTTGGGTAGAGCGCGGAGGTCTCGATATGAAAGCATGGTCAATCTAGGGGTGGCCTCTACGAACGCAAGTGCGAGCGACTTGCTATCAAGGGACTCCGGCGACGGAAGCGCCGTACGACAGACCGTAATAATCAAGGAAGAAGGGAAACCCGCGATTCATTTCGTGAGTTCTCCTATTTATGCAAGCCAGCGCCCAGGTCTTTGACTTTACCTTTATAAGCAACTCGGAAATTGCATCGGCCGCGGGCAGTTCGGCACAGTGTATCGGGCTCTGAATCTGACAACCGGACAAATGGTGGCAGTTAAACGAATCCGATTAGAAGGTCTGAAAGAGGACGAAGTTGCCCAGCTCATGAGAGAGGTGGACTTGATGAAAAGACTATCACATCCAAGTATTGTGAAGTATGAAGGGATGGCTCGAGATGATCAATACCTTAACATCGTTCTTGAGTGAGTACAGTCCATTATCTTGTCGGATGTTTCTTTTGATGAGCTCAATCTAGATATGCTGAAAGCGGCTCATTGGGCCAGATGCTCAAAGCTTTCGGCAAGTTGAACGAGCAACTTGTGGCGGGCTACGTTGTCAAGATTCTCGAGGGCTTGCATTATTTGCATCGTTGCGATGTTGTCCACTGCGATTTGAAAGCCGCCAACATTCTCACTACGAAGACGGGGAATATCAAGCTCTCGGATTTCGGCGTTTCCTTGAACCTGAAGGCTATAGAAAGAGAGAAGGACGTTGCTGGTACTCCGAACTGGATGGCCCCAGAGGTCATCGAGCTCAAAGGGGCTTCAACAAAGGCTGACATTTGGTCGTTGGGATGCACAGTTGTCGAACTTCTTACTGGACGTCCGCCATTTGGGGATATCACCAACACAATGACAGGTATGATCATGGTGATTGTTCCAGACGCATGACTGATGTAAATGCAGTCATGTTCCGCATTGTCGAGGACGAGATGCCAATCCCTGAAGAATGTTCCGAGCCGTTGAAAGACTTCCTTCAGCAATGCTTCCAGAAGGAACCCTCGATGCGACCTGATGCTGAGCTATTGTGCGAGCACCCCTGGTTGAAGAGAAATTGGGATGCCCTCAAGGTTCGTGGGTCTCTGGATAGTATGTAAGATGTTACCAATCGATTTCATTTAGGAACTTCGTCTTCAGGATAGCATACCCTTTCTCCGGCGTGTTAGCACTGATCTACAAAAGACTGACATTGTGCACCTTGCATCTATGGATATCAACAGAATCGAATCACCTTCCTCGGTTCAAGAGGAGCCATCAAAGTCCCCAAGGCGCAGATTATCCAGTGGACCGTCTTCGCCGATTTCGCTTCCGGAGAATACCCCATTCACCCCTATGGATCATTCCTTTATCAAGACCACCTTTGGGAAACGTGAGCCCGAAATTTGCAGCCGGTTAGTCTCGCTGATCGTATTTGTAGCCATGATCTGCAGAGTGTGTATGGGAAGTATCAAAAGAAGCGCCGTCATTTGCGACAAGTGTAATCTCATCACTCACTCAAAATGTGCTCCTGAAGCTCCTCCCACATGCGACCTTCGCTCTCAACTGTTGCTTTACGCACAGTACGCCGAACAAGGAAGCCCCGCTGGTATCCCGCTCGATGGATTGAATGGGTTGCATCCTCCTCGTCCATCGACGATTATTCCTTCTGAAGTCTCCTTCGCTACCCCTTCTCCTCGACCAAGCTTGGACGTCACGCCGTCATCACAATTACCATCACCCACTCCTCCCAACGTCTACAAGCTTATAAATCCCTTCAAACGTTCTCGTTCTTCCCTAGCAGCAGAGAATAGGTCTTCCCCTTTGGCATCGCCGTCATCGATGCCTCAGCCTCTGTCTCACGATGATGTCACTCCCAAGCGAAAACCCTCTAAGCTCTCACCGAATATGATCTCGAAAGAACGACCTCATTCATTGTCAAGTAATGGTACTGCCCCCAATGCCGGTAGCATGAAGAAGGCTGACAGCCAGTCCAGCCGTCAAGAACCAGGCCGTAAATCCTTCTTTTCAATAGTTGAGCCTGATACACATACGATTCCACAACTTGGTCCGCCAGTTCCCGACAAGAAATCATTTTATGCCCATGCTACGACTGCCACTCTCAATGATCGTATGGACAATTCATCACGCCACATTCCGGGCACAGTGCCCAATGAACCTGACCGTCACAAAAAACGGGCAGCAGAGAACCCATCAGGCTGCATGTTCAGTGACTCTTCTCTTACATCTACTGTCATCCTCGCCTGCATCAATCATCCGAACATAGCATGATTCAGATACCGTCATGGACACTGTACCACTAAAGTCCTTAGTGCTTTTACCCATTATTACTGATCACTACTATACTGTTCATTAAGACGTATATTAATATATACTCTCTTTTAGCACTTCTATCCTGGTGCAATATCTAATCACAACCACCTCAAGTTCAGTGTCCTGTGAGCAAAAATAATGCGCCCCCTCCCCCGTAAACTGATTCGACTTCTTAGGATATCCGCTGACATAATCTCAGCGTGCGGCGCCGATATCTGCCCAGGTTCGGGCCGCTCCGTCGTCCGACGGTCCAGCGCCGTTCAATGGATACCAACTTCAAGTTCGTGCCAGCAACACTAACCTTGTACCATCTTGTTTGGATGGCAACGATGTCAGGGCCCTTGCATTGCAATATTTGGCATGAAAGTCCAG